TTTAATGGACAATTTCCATATAAAACAAATCCAAACGAATTGAAAATTTATAAATTTTCCACGTGGAAAATTATACCAATCAAACACATTTGAAATCGTTTCTCCTGCAAAACATTTTCTAGGTAAACCTTTTCCCTGTAAAACATTTTCTTTACACCCATTTTCTACCCTTACAATCAAACGCACCCTTAGTGTTTGTCCACACAAGTTGGATAGGTATGTACAATTTTGGGTTCCTTCATTTCTTTGCCCATTTGAATGAAACTCACTCTCAAACTGTTCTCTCGTACCTGCATGTGATTGTACAAATTATTAGCTTATAGCTAAGAGATAAACAAAAATGTGCCTAGATATTTGTAAATTCCGATGAGACTTTTATGAAAGTTAGAATCTTACCTCTAAATTTGAAACTATTGCAATACTCTTTTCCAATTCCTCAAAGTATTGCTTGTATTGTTTTAGTACGATCATAAGCTCTACCAGCACATAGCTCGCCGTCTCAATCTTCAGCACACAAAGTTGAAGATTAACCCATCTATAGTAACATAAAATTAAAGAAAGCTACAAAAGATAAAAATTAAATTAAATAAATTTCTGATTGACTTACAAAAAAGTGAATTTACCTGCCTATACATGTCCACGATCATAGCTTCTATGCTGTCCATAACTCCGGTGGCCATCGATATGGCATCATAGAATGTCATTACTTGCGCCTAAGCAGATTAAAATCACATTTTTGATAGATTTTGATTAAAATTGATGAAACGTGTGATTGAAAAGTTGTGGAACCCATTGAAAATGTGGTTAACATTAATTGTTGACATAACTTAGATTAAAAAATCGAGATTTTAATTTCTACCAAACATGAGCAAAATTAAAGAAGTTCGAGCGTGACAATTTCAGATTTTTTTTTTAATAGACTCGTGATTAGAGATGTAAAGTAAATTATGTCGTAAAGGTTCAAGGAATTTGAAGGAAAAAAAAGAAAAAAAGGAAATTTAATTATATACCTGAGCACCATCAACCAAAGGGAGAGAAACTGATATAGCTGAGAGTTTTCTAGCCACTCTGCCAACAGCTGCACAATTTTTGGCTTCAATTCTTGACCATTCTGTCTGATACTTCATCTGGGATTTCATAATCTCATATAATTTGATTTGGTGTTTCAGCTTTAAAACTTGATTTCTCTTTTCTATGATCATATTTCTCGTCAAGGATATTCTTAACCATGCATTCACAAACTTCTTCTGCATTAAAGAAAGAAACAAAATATGTCAGAATCAAATGTGGACTTGTCCCTAACTAAAGTTGGTACTCGATATTTAACTATAACATGTCTGCATATCAATTTAAGTTACTTGACATCAATCTAAGTTGAAAAATTAGAATCTAGTTTCATAAAGCGAGGCACGTTAATGGATAACAGTTTTTTTGAATAATTTTTGAGTCATAAAATTTCTCTAGTACAAAGCCTTGAATTCGAATTTATGCCATCAGCAATTAATGAAAATTTTGCACGTGTCAAGTATTCGATGATAAAGTACATCAATATTAAAGATGGACAAAATTCCTAAACCAAAACCGGACCTCGGAACCGAAAATCCAAAATGACAAGAATTTTTGTTTATCTTTAAAAAAAATGGATAATGCTATTCATGGTGAAAACTACATGTAGACGCTTATGTGGCATACACATAGTAGTTATCGGTAGTCTTCAATATGAATAGCACTACTCTTAAAAAATTGAAGTTGGTACATTGGAAGAACGCATATTGTGTCCATTCTTATTTCTTCGAGAAGAATTAAGACTCCATTTGATAGGCGTTATTTTCCAGAGAACTAGGAAAATATTTTACATTTTCCACTTTTTTGGCTGTTTGATAGGCAAAATTTTCCACAGAAAATATTTTCCGGGTTTCGCCCCACACGTGTGCATTTTTTGGGTTTTTGATAAAAAAAAATTTCACCTTTTTGGTGGGAAAAAAATTTTCCAGGCTGGCTGCAAAATTATTATTATTATTGTTTTTTTTTCAATGGAAACAAATGTCATAACTAATGGTAAAAAAAATTCACTATAATGAACAATTTTCATGTAAAACAAAGTTAAACGAACACTAAACTTTGATTAAAAAAATGATTTTTTAGGAAATAATTTTTTTTTCCCTTTTTTTTTTTTTTTTTTTTTTTTTTT